TAATCCTTACTGTTACACTGTTAATTTGAGTACTTGCTTTACTATTAGCTATTTCATATTTTATGTAAGTTGTTTCATGTTAAATATATAATGTTTCAGTATTAGCAACACAATGTAAGTTGCTGATGTAAGTTGTGCAGATGCTGGAATTCAGATTTGGAATTCAGATATTGTTTCAGAATCTAAATAAACTGTTTCACTGAAGAATTACAATGTTACTAAAATAATCCTTACTGTTACACTGTTAATTTGAGTACTTGCTTTACTATTAGCTGTTTCAAATTTGAGTACTTGCTTTACTATTAGCTGTTTCATATTTTATGTAAGTTGTTTCATGTTAAATATATTATGTTTCTTATAATAAATATGCAGTTTCATAATAAACGTCTGTTGTTACATATTCATATTTAAAATTAACTGTTTCATATTGTTTATTTGTTGTTACATATGATAAACGAACTGGTAGTATTTGTACTTTGATATCTTCTGTCAAAGTACATAACCTGTTTAAAATATGGAAAAATGTTGGTTTAAAATATGAAACAGTTGGCATATAAAATGGAACAACATATATATACCTGATGTTTCATTGTTACTTATGCTGTTTCACATTATATGCCATTTGTTTCATTACATATTACTGTTGTTTCATATACCTGATGTTTCATTGTTACTTATGTTGTTTCACATTATATGTCATTTGTTTCATTACATATTACTGTTGTTTCATATAACTTTTGTTACATATTTAACAGATGGTGTTTCATTTTATTGTGAAATAGAACATACATTTGAAATCACATTTATTATAAAATGAAACACCATCTGTTAAATATGTAACAACATATATTCAAAATATGTGATATCAAATGTATGTTCTGTTTCACAATATATTTAAGATGTATGTTGTTTCATTTTATATGCCTGTTGTTTCAAAATTTCAACAAACAGTTTTTCATACTTGCTCAAACAGGTTATGTACTTTGATAGACTGAAGCGTGGTACAGCTCAACCACGAAGGACAATACCCCTAATAACCGTTTGGAACAAGCAGATGATACAAGAACGAATGAAGGTGGAGAAGAAGAGAGGATTTGGACAAGGTAAAGTCCTCGACAGGTTAACTGCTATAAACACAAATTCTGGTGAAGAAAATCAAGGGCCTTCGTCGTCCTCTGCTCCTGAAGATGTTAAGGTAAAAAAAAAAGAAAAACAAAAAAACATGACAATTAATATACATGATGTTTCAATGTTTCATATTAAATATAATTTGTTTCATTACATATTATTGTTGGTTCAAAATAATGTATATGATTTAGATGTATGTTGATTCATTTTATATGCCTATCGTTTCATTTTATATACCTATTGCTTCATACATTTCGGGTGTTTAATGTTTTGTCTACGCTGTTTCATATAATAAATCTGATGTTTCATATTGGCCACATGCTATTGTTGGTTTGTTATAGGGATTTATACTTGATGAATTCAACAACATTTCCAAGGAACTTGCTGGCCATGTCCAGTCAATGTATGCACTGATTGACAAGGCATACAAATTGATTGAGGAGGTGGAGATCCCAGGTGAGATGAAGGAGCTCATAAGAAATGTATGGGGCAAGTACACATCAGTACAGCCCACTATGAGTTCCCAAGGAATCAAGACCCCGGGTTTTCTATCTCAAGATGAGAACTTATTTCATGAGCCAGCGTTTTTATCTGAGCTCAGTGATGTGATGAACAAAGCATGGGCAAATTTTCAGGCCCCACAAGATGAACAACAAGATGAACCCCCCCTGAGAATGTTGTACCCCCACAAGCTACACCCCACAATGATTTCGTTCATGACATTGTTTCATTATCTGAATTCCAGCCAAACTATAATCTATTTGTAGGTTCACAGGCGTTGCCTCCAACACCCCCAGCAAAAGGAAAGTCACCAGAGCAGGAAGAATCTCCAACGGAGCAGCACTTGGAGTCACTCACTGAATCCATCGTTCATAAGATAACAATGCAACATTCTGAGGAGCCAGTGACTGGTATGCAAAGAGAAAAAAGAATCACACAAAATCTTCCTGTGCACCTTCGATCCCCATTCATGGTGCAGAATGAAAAAATTTCAGCAAAAATTGATGCCCTACAAAGAACAGCCGCCGAATATGCCTTTTGTGCAGGCCCAAAATCGTGAGAATTTCCTGGAATGCTTTGTCTCATATTATATACATATTGTTTCATAGTATATACAATATTATATTGTTTCATATTATATACATATTGTTTCATTAAATTGTTTTCCTGTCCCATCAATTTCAGTGAGCAGCTGTACAATGACGGGCTTAACTTCATCAGTAGGGAAGACATTTTAGGACTACAAGGTGACAACTATGTGGTCAACAATATAATAGACTCTTGGGGCCACATCCTTAACATGGCAAACAAAAGAAGGCAACCAGGCGCTATCAACCGTTTTTTCTGATCCTCTGAATGTTGGGTAATTATGTCTAAAATTATTTTACAGTTTCACTTTTAAGTTTAATGTTTCATTTATCATATAATTTGTTTCATTAACATATTGTTCCATTTTTCATTACTTTGTTTCATATTAAATAAAATATATTTCATTGTACATACAATATGTTTCATTGTATACATTGCCAATGTTTCACTATATAGTGCCAATGTTTCATACATCTGATGTTTCATTTTTTATTTACGATGTTTCATATTATATATCAATTATTTCATTGTATACAGTGCCAATGTTTGACTATATAATGCCAATGTTTCATACATTTGATGTTTCATTTTTCATTTATGTTGTTTCATATTGTATATCAATTGTTTCTTTGTATATAGTACCAATGTTTCACTATATAGTGCCAATGTTCCACTATATAGTGCCGATGTTTCATTTTTAATATATTATGCTCCGTATAAAATACTTCAGTTTTATAGTATTGATACATTACAATATTCCTGATACACTAACAACTACAACAATGATTAATTACCTGGAAAAAAACAGAATATGTTGTGCGGTAACAAGTACTTTACGCCAAATACCAAGTTTGCAGAGAGATACAACGCTTTCAAGAGCAGGATGGTGGACGAGATGAATCATTCTAAAATAACTTCTTTTGACAAAGTAGATTTGGTTAGATACTAAACTAGTACTGATTCTTAGCATATATATTTGCTTAAAAAGACATACTTAATGTTACATATAACTTACTTATTGTTTCATTATAGGTTTTCTTTCTCGTCCCAGCATTTGAACACTATTATCTGTTCTGTTTCAATTTTTCACGCAAGCAACTGCAAATTATAGACAACAGATTTCTAGAAGAAGGTGTTGAAATGGATGCAAAGTACAGCAATTTCCCAACTACCATGGTAAAAATATGACACTGTTTCACTAAACATCACTGGTATTCCATTTTTTATTTTTTGATGTTTCAATTAGTATATCTGGTGTTTCATTGTTGATTTCTGGTGTTTCTGATTATATAGAATTTGTTCAATATATATATATGGTTTCAAATAATACATTTGATGTTCCATTTTTTCATTACTGCTGATTCATATTAAATTAAATAGGTTTCATTGTACATATAATATGTTATTTCATATTCATACATCTGATGTTTCATTTTTCATTTACGCTGTTTCATATTATATATCAATTGTTTCATTGTATATATTTGTTGTGCCATTGTTCCTTGGTACATATAATTGTTTCATATTACACAGATCAAAGCATTTGCTAAATTTTTAAATGAAAAGAAAGTTGGGAATGGACGGGGAGTGTCTAGATTCAATACCACTATGAAGGAAATGAGATGGAAGAATAATGAGAATTATAATGATTGCGGTGTATACGCTCTCAAACACATGGAAACTTACATGGGGCAGCTAGATGAATGTTGGGATATTGGATTCGACCCAAAAGATGTGAGTTTTTGTGTAATTCTTATATTAATTTATACATAATTTATGGTTCATTGTTCCGGTATTTATTTTGAATTGTTAATATATTTCAGCCTGATATAATGAAGAAGCCGAGGATTGAGTATTGTGGGAAAATATTGACAAGCCCTGCAAACGTACTACAAGATGAAGTTATAGCCAAATCAAAGACCTGGGCATTAGAGCAGCTTCGTCATGTTAATCAGTAAACAATGTTTATAATGTTTCCACATTAGTTGTAAGATACATAATTTTTATGCATGTCCTGGATAATTTAGCTAAACATCTTTTTATGTTTCGTATGTAAAGATGTGCGTATATTATTGTCAATTGTGAACTATTAATATGACACATTAGAAGTATTAAATGAAACTTTAAATATATAAAATGAAACAACAGCTAGGTAATATGAAACAATGTGATTATAGGTTTAGCTAAACATGTTCTGGATTATTTTCCCATAATTAGAATTATTAAATGAAACTATAAATAGATAAAATGAAACAACGGTAACGTAATATGAAACAATATGAAACAATATGAAACAACATGCATTGTCAACGGTAAGAAATAAATTTAAACTATGCACTGTCACAACTGAACACGTTTCCACATGAAACTGACAAGTGTAAGGTTGCTTTTAAACTTTACAATAAATATGTTCCCAAAGCAACAATACCACACCAGTACTTTTAAAAAAAGATGACTAGTCAAATCAATACACGCTGCCACATAAAATCAATTTGCACACTTTGTGAAAAATATTATATACTCCGTAAATTTTTTATATAAAACATGCTTACAAAACATGCTAAAACGAATCTTAATGTTTCAGGGAATGTTCCTACTGTTCCCATAAATGAAACAATTGTTACATATATTAGAACTAGTGTTTCTTAAAACTGATGCTTCTCAAAACTGATGTAACATATATTAAAACTTATGTTTCTCAAATGTAACTAATTGTTCCATTACAACAAACATAAAAATGAGTAAAACATTCCCATAAGAAGGAACAACAGCTACACAAATCATCATGCTTTGTGAGGACAATTCCGAATATCATGATATGCTAGCTCGCCACAGCCACTGCATTTCCTCTTCGTTTTCTTTTTAGATTGTCCAACCGCTATTTCTTTGGCACCCTTTAATCTTTTAGACCCACTAGTTCCAGAGCCATCGTGAACACCTGTACCTTTATTCTTCGACACTTTAGGAGGCTGAACAAGTATTTCATCAGGAATGCTACATCCTATTAACATCTCAATATCATGTTCACTAGATCTTACATTCTGAGTATCTTCCAAAGTAACATTTTTTGTCGCTTCAATTTTATTCTTGAACTCTCGAATATTCTTAATAAAGTCCTCCTCATGACCTTTACCCAACTCACACAAGAAAATATCTCCGACCACATTTCATTTATAACCACCCGCCTATCATCTTCGGTGTCTAAACAACTTATATCTAACACTGGTTTCTGAGTAGCATTTATTGTCCAACGATCTAAGATATATTGCTTTGGAATGATTTTTAAATTCTTTGCCTTCCACATCCATATCATATGTCTGCATGGGATTCCTATCCTATAAAACTTCTTACAAGAGCAGGTAGTGTCATGACTAAAGCACTCAAACAAAACTTTAAATTTCCTTCTCCTATTTGCCTCAGTAACAATTGCTACATCAATACCATCTTCCTTCCTCAATTCATCTACACCACAACAATAAAAAGCACTATGAACTTCATCTTGAAATTCATAAAATACAGAAACGGTGTACACCTCAGAACCATGCCTCTCAATCAACAATTCTGTCTTACATTGAGGGAATTTCTCCTGTGATTCATTGTCATTCTCTGCCTGACAATGTCTCTGTGCATCCAACGCAGTTTCATACCTCATGAAAAACTCCACAAGAGACACGTGAGGATTTACAACGGATGTAAAAAAATTATTCTCACTCTCTGACCTTGAGGTAGTTCTCATAATACCACCCATAAAGACATCTCTAAAATACGCTGGAATCCACATAGCTCTCATCTCAAACATCAAATTCAACCAATCATGATCTTGTAATTTAAACTCAACAAGAACATTGTTCCACTTCTCTTCAAATTCAGGTGCCTCAATTTCTAAATTCCAAACACACTTACTGAGTTCCTTCAAAAATTCAGTATCCTGAATGATATTCCTTCCAACTTTATCAGGCAGCTTTTTCATTATGTGCCACATACAAAATCTGAAGGACATTAATTATGGGACATTAGACCACTATTTTGAAACATTATCTTTTAAAACTGTAACATTATAGTAAAATTCCGGAACATCATCTTGAAGATTTGAAATAATAAAATAAATAATTGGAATAACTAGGCTTACTCGTAAAAATTGATTAACCTAATGGAACATCAGAACATAAATTTGAAACAATAAAACACTATATAGGAACAATGTTTTTTTTAAAAAAAAATTCAGAATAATAATATTTAACATCATCACAACAACTGGAAACATCAATCAACTAATATGAAACATCAGACACGTATTTTGAAACAATAGTATTCACAAATGAATCAATGACATTAATTATGGGACATTAGACCACTATTTAGGAACATTAGCTTTTAATACTGTAACATTGTAGTAAAATTCCGGAACATTATCTTGAAGATTTGAAATAATAAAAAAAATAATTGGAATAATTAGGCAAATTCTCGTAACAATTGATTAACCTAATGGAACATCAGAACATAAATTTGAAACAATAAAACACTATTTAGGAACAAGAATTTTTTTTTAACAATAATATTTAACATCATTAATTTGAAACAATAATATGAAACAATAGTATTCACAAATGAATCATTCTAGTTGCAGTACAATAAAATAAATACTAATCTGAACCAATAAATTTGAAACAATAATATTTAACATCATAACAACAGCTGGAAACATGAATAAACTAATATGAAACATCAGACACATATTTTGAAACAATAGTATTCACAAATGAATCATTCTAGTTGCAGTACAATAAAATAAATATCTGTGCTCACATTGTTGGAAAACAGAATCTACAGCAATTTTCATAGCTGGATCTTGATCCGTAATTAAACAATTGGGCTCCCTACCACCCATTGCCTTAACAAATGTTCTAAATAGCCATTCGAATGAAGCAACATCTTCCTTTGCAATAAAACCAGCAGCAAAAGTGACACATTTCTTGTGGTGATCGACTCCCGTGAATGGACCAAATACCATATTATATCTGGAAAACATGAAACATACGCTGAAATTACGATTCCATATTTATGTCTACTGTTTCGTAATATTATTCCAATGTTCCGAAAATTAAAACAAATGTTACATCAAATTGTAAAACCCAAAAAAAAAATTAAAAAAACTTTAAAAATAACACTATGATACCTGTTGCTTTGGTAGGTTGTATCAAACGAGAGCATATCACCAAATACGGCATAATTTCTCCGGCAAATAGGATCTGCCCATAAAGCTCTACATAGACAGTCGTCTTCATCCATTTCGTAATCAAAAAAATAAGCCGACCACATCAACTTTTTCCTCTTAAAATTATCAACAAACATCTGGGCGTCCGATCCTTCAATATACACCTTCAAATCTCTATGAAATTTTTTGAAGTCATTCCTACTAGCGCCTATATTCTCATACCCACCAACATATTCCTTCACCATTCTGTATGTCTTGACAGGACCAATATTCACCTGTGGAGACAGAATGTAAAAAGACTAGACTGTTTGAGGACCATGATATATATGGAAACAGATCTAACAGTGCATATTTAATTTTATGAAAAAAAGGCAAAAAAGATTTCAAAGATTCTAAATATAGATGTGAACAAAAAACAAAAAGGCACACATTTAATAACAAATAACGGTACACGTTATTCTTGATGGATAGTGCGAAATTCGATGATGACATATTATATGAAACAAAAATGCACTTTATTGTTCCATATATCTGACCACCTGTTCCAAAAATGCACTTTATTGTTCCATATATCTGACCTACTTTTCCTACGCATTACCCTATTGTTACATTTGTTATAATAACGAAATAATTTTAAACCTTTAAATCCAATCGCTCCAACTATGTTTCAATTATACGTAATATTGTTCCATTTATCAAAACCATTGTTCCATACAGTTGTACTTGCACCTACTTGAGTATATACATTACAAACAATTGTTCCATCAAAAACAATATATATTTCATATTACAGTACTAATGTTTCATATATGTACACAATTGTTACTTCACATTTAAAATTTAATCATTTTAAACAAAACCATATTCAAATACGATTGTTCCATCCAAAACAATATATATTTCATATTACAGTACCAATGTTTCATATATGTACACAATTGTTACTTCACATTTAAAATTTAATCATTTTAAACAAAACCATATTCAAATACCTTTGAATTATCAATTATCATCTTCTTATGAAACATTGTCAGCTTTCTTTTGGAATTCTGAAAATGAGAGTTCTCGGATGAATACAAATGATGAGTATGCCCTTCTTCAAAATTAGAAACAATGTAACCTCCATCTTCGCAATACTTTAAAATCATCTTTGCCTTACAAACAACTCGAGTAGACAATCTTCTTTTAACCATAGGAGTATTCGCTTCTTGACAATCATAGTCTTTTTTATCTTGACCAACAACCACTTCTTCAACATTCATATCATCTACAAAATTATCATCTTCTTTCCCGATACTATCAACTTTCTCTGTCACCACATTATTTCGTTTTTCTTTAAACCCAACTTTATTACATACAATAATTTGAAAAGAAATAATACCATTTTTTCTTTTTTTGACCGTCGACTTTCTAGTAATAAATCCTACAACAGCTGCGTAGGACTCATAAAAACGCAAACCTTCATCAAGTTTTGAAAATTTCATACCTATAGTTGGTCTAATTTCACTATCACAACATGGAATCCATATCTTCGTTCCACCAGGGGTAAAAGCATGAAGAACATTAGACGTACCAAATTCAAAAGACAAATCCATGCTTAATATAACTACAGAAAAAAAAAATTGAGCTCTAACCTTTGATAATGTATTCCAATGGCTGAATCTATTCCAATGGCTGAGATAACGTCTTCCAATGACTGACCCATAATGTATTCCAATGGAATACAACGTCTTCCAATGCACAAAAAAAAAATAAAATTACAAACAATCATTACCTTTTCAAGCTGGCCCACGTGAATTCCCACTATAGTTACTAATAAATCTGAACCATTCATCTAATAAAAATGAATGGTCTTATATTGGTTCTCATTTTATATTGGTTCTCACCTAAGCCATGGGTTCTCACATGATCCCATTTCTATATATATATATATATATATATATATATATATATATATATATATAGGGGAAGACTCTCGTGAGAATTTTTCTTATATGAGAATTTTTCTTATGTGAGAACACTCTTTATGTTCTAAATTTTTACTCGTATGTTCTAAATTTTAAATATGATGTTCTAAACTTTTTTTTAGGTGTTCTAAATTAAATCAAATGTTCTAATTTATTACTCACATGTTCTAAACCATAAATTAGTTAAGCTTGATGTCATAAATTTTAAATAACTTGTTCCAAACTTTTAACTTTTATGTTCTAAATTTTAAAACGTGTGTTCTAAGATTTTTAATTATATGTTCCAGATTTTCTAAGATTTTTTAATTATATGTTCCAGATTTTAAAGCATATGTTCTATTTTTTTTACTCGTATGTTCTAAATTCTTTACTCACACTTTCTATATTCAATATCAGTTTGTTCTAAATTTTTATTCACATGTTCATAATCTTAAATCAAGTGTTCTAAATGTTACTCATATGTTTAAAATTTCATAAAGAAAATTTTATAAATTTTTAATCACTTGTTCTAATTCTTAAATCAGATGTTCTAACATATTACTCACACAAATGTTCTAAATTATTACTCATATGTTCAAAATTTTAATTTGAGTCACATGTTCTAAATTTTAACTCGTATGTTCTAAATTTTTACCCACATGTTCTAAATTTTAAATCAGTTCTCATATAAGTATGAATTCTCAAATATGGACCTATTCTCACCGGATCCCTCCCATATATATATATATATATATGACCAGGTTATAATAAGAACCTATGCTAGAATAGGAACTAGGAACAAATCTGGACCGTAAGATGTAGAAGAAGAGGCGCACGATCTGGCGGCCCAAATTTGTTCAGACAAATTAATTGCAAAATTCAATTCTAACGCCTTTTCTCTCTCCTCTCTCTCTCTTTCTTTCCGCAATTTTCTCACTCTTTCCACTATTTTCTCTCTCTTAATCGCCATTTTCAACTGCAAAAACCTTCGAAAACCGCCATAACCGTCAAATAAACTGCTCAATCTTGCTATAAAATTACAATTTCATGTTCTACTGTATACGTTTTTCAATTTCGGAACAAAATTTTTTGAAAATTGGCAAAAATTGACAAATATAAGGTATTTTATCACAACTTCGAAGTTCATACTATTTTGTTTATTTTTGTTGCTATTTTGTACTTATATTTGTTTTTTTTGCTTGATTATGTTAGATTTGAAGTAGCAGAACTTGAATCCGAGAAATTCGAAGTTCAAATTTAGTGTTTTCAGTTCGATATCTTTATAATAAGGTATTATCACAAATTAGTTCATTTTTGTTCAAATTATGATTAATTTACTTATAGTTTATGTGCAAATTTGTTGTAATTTAGGTTAATATCGACATGCATGTGAAAATTATTCAAAGTTTTAATTATGTTTGTGTTTTTTTTTTTTTTTTTTTTTTGCTTGATTATGTAAGAATTGAAGTAGCAGAACTTGAATTGGATAAATAATTTTAAGCTAAAATCGACATGGATGAGATAATTATTCAAAGTTTTACATAAATTAATATTAGGTTTTTCATAAATTAGGTATAAAATTATAGTAAAGTGTTTTTGAAATAATATTTGAAAAACTTTAGATCTGTTTATATTTATGAACTTAAGTAATTTTACTTAAACTCACTTAAACTCATACTAATTTAGAATAATTTTGGTTAATTTATGAGTAATATTTTGAGTGCATTATTTGTTGGTATAGTACTTCTATTCTACTATTTGAGTGTCAGAAATTTTCTAAAAGTAAATAAAAGAATATTAAAATTAGATAGACACTGACTAAAAGTAAATTAAAAGTAGTTGTTTGAGTTTCTATAGTTTTGAGTGCATAATTTTTTAAAAGTAAATAGAAATTTGTTAAAAGTAGATAGAAATTTGTTAAAAATAGACAGAAATTGCCTAAAAGTAAATTTATTAATTGTTACTGAATTACTATGAAATCTATAGATATTGTAGCTTGTGTATAAATCAATAAAATGTGACTTTTTTATAATGGCTTGTGTATAACATAACAAAAATGATGATAATCATTGCTCATTTCATTACCCTATACATTGTTCTTGGTCATCTCATATTTGTTTTGAATTGTTCACTGATTAAAATGGCTAAAACTACAAAGAAAAACCTGCAACAAAACCAGATCCAGCAAAGGATATTGCTGCAACAAAGAAGTTTGTTGCAAGTAAAAAAAGTTACTGCAATCAAGAAATCTCCTGCAACCAAGAAATCTCCTGCGGCCAAGGTGACTCCTAAAGCAAAGAAAGTTCCTGCAAATACAAAGCAATCTCCAATTAAAGGTATATAGTATAAACTAAATGGAGACTGTTATAAAGTAAATAGAAACACTTATAAAGTAAATCATTTATCTGTATAAATCTGTGTTACAAATTTAAAGATTTATACTATTACATAATTGAATATAAAAAGTAAATCCTTAGTGTAGTAACGTAAATAAAAAACCTTATAGAGTAAATATATATGTTTTAAAAGATTTTTAATATGTCTATACTTATAAACTGATTGTGTTAACTAAATGTAATAGGTGCTAAGCTTCAAAGGATTTCAAAAAAGCAAATATTGATAAAGAGAAGAATTAAGGAACTAGAAGCATCAAAAGGTTCATAAAAGTTTATATAATTAAATTCATTTGTTATGTATTATATTGCACCAAGGTATTACATAAAAGTAAATGAAGATTGATATAAAGTAAGTACAAATTGTTATAAAGTAAATAGAAACTCTTCTAAAGTAAATGAAGATTGATACAAAGTAAGTACAAATTGTTATAAAGTAAATAGAAACTCTTCTAAAGTAAATGAAAATTGTTTTAAAGTAAACTGTTTAGAGTAAATCATTAAATGTCTACGATGTTTATTGATAAATTTAATAAAGTTAACAAAAATGTTTATAAAGTAAATATAAATGTTTTCAAAGTTGGTTAACATGTTTAAACAAATTATAGGAACAAAGAAAAGGTTAAATTCTGAAGTGAAAGATAGCAATTATGAACCAGAAGAAGATCAGAATGAGGGTTCTGATGGTTCATCAGAAGAAGACACAAAAAAGGGAAAAGCTCATTTAAAGAAAAAAATGAAGCTTGACAATTCTGAGCTTAATGTACATGAAGTTATTGATGTTAATGATGATGATGATGGTAATCTGGAAATCAAGAAAACACACTGCAGACCCAATGCAATTGTTGATTAAATTAACAATTTTAGTGAGCAGCAAAAAAAAAGATGTCATAATTATTGGTTTTGGAGGACTGCTTGAACTAAAGTTAAGAAGAATTTCAACAAAGATGCTTCCATGGCTTTGTCACCATTTCAATGAAAGCAGCTGCATGTTCAAGATTGACATGTTGAAAGAATTTTCAGTGAGTTCCTACGATGTTGAAGATATATTCTTGCTTCCACATGTAACTGAGAACAAGGTGAGTTTTCAGTTAAGGAAGCAACCTCTATCAAACTTGCTGATTCAAAAAGAATGGAAGAAAAATCTAGGAATTCCAGAAGATGATGAGATAATTGTGAATAATTTGGAGAACAAATTAAAGAGTCTAAAGGAAGGAGGGGAGGATTTTAAAATATTCTTTGTGATGTATGTTTGCAGCACATTCTTGGCCCCTGTTGCAAACAGAGTGATTGATTACAAGATAATCAATTACGCAGACAATGTAAAAGAAATACATAACCTAGATTGGTGTGGTTATGTGATGAATAACCTGTGCAAATCAGTGGGGAGCTTCAAGAACAAAAAAAAAGGAATCAAGATCGGCAATAAGTGGATGTATCTTTATTCTTCGACTTGTATACTTTCATCATCTAGCATTCAGAGGGAAGCCTGAACCTAAAACACTGTCATTGATCCAACATTGGTCAGATGAGAAATTAAAAGAAAGAATTGCAAAAGAGGCAAAGACATCTTTTTTGCCTCTTTTGGTGAAGGAGAACTTCAAAAAGACGACTATCCAATTTGTAGAAAAAAAGGAAAGCAAGCATTCTTGGGAGATGTAATTGAGAATGCTTATAGAAATTTTACTGATAGGGAGAGAAGATTGGTGTCATTCAACCTACCAGAAGGTGTGATGACAGATAGTAAAATACATAAAGCTGCAAAAGATGTGAGTAATTTTTTTTTTGTTACAATGATTTCTTTTATTTACTTTAAAATAAAATGTAGTTACTTTTATCTCATATTTGTTTACTTTTATTATATTGAATTGCTCTGCTCCTAGTAGTAATAACATATAGTAAATGATAAACATAAAGTAAATAATGTTGATTTAAAAGTAAACAAATTAACTTTAAAAGTTAATATTATTTGTTTTAAAAAATAATGTACTAATAAATTGTTGTTATTTATTTTGAAGGAAATTGAAGAAGAACTGCATTTGTTGACTAGAGATTCACAACTCTTTGCAATGATACATGCTGAGCGTATAGCTACCTTAGGAGAAAAGAAGAAAAGGCAACAAATGAATGTGTTTACATCTAATTCTCAACAGGTTTCTGAAACACAAAGGCTGATGGAAGATCCTAGAGTACAAAGGGCTATGGATGAAATAGTCAGGCTTTATGATGATCTAAGAAATGTATCTTGTGTGATTC